TTATTACATACGAATTTTTAAATAATTTGTAATTAAATAAAAAATTATCAATAATTTAAATATTTTTATTTAAAAAAGGCATTGAAAAATCTCATATTATATTAATGAATTGACCAAAGTAATAATACATCATAATAGAATAAAAAGATCTATTAATATTAAAATATGAATTTATAGTAAGATTTGCATCAAAATGAAAATTATCTATTATTTTAATAGTATTATTTAAAAAAGGCATTGGAAAATATCTTATATATTAATGATTTGATCGATTTATAACACATCAAAATAGTATTATAACATCTATTAACATTAATATATGAATTATTAATAAGATTTTCAACAAAATGAAACAATCATTAATTTAAATAATATTATTTAAAAAAGGCATTGATAAAACATCATATAATTTAAATGATTTGACACAATTAATACAATAGTAGTAAAGTATTTGTAAGTCTTCTAATTTTCACAAACGAATTATTTATAAGATTTAAGACAAAATGAAAAATTATCAATAATATAAATAGTATTATTTAAAAAAGGCATTTGAATATATCTTAGTATATAAATGATTTGAACTAATACAAACCACATAGTTTCTACCTAAAAGTGATTCTCAATTTTTAATAGTAAATTGATATGAAAAAGAATAAAATAAGATGATTAGATTTCTAGAAATATGGATCTTTTGATAACTACATCACATTTTAAGCAATTAAAAATATTAAAACTAATGAGAATAAGATATTTTTAAATAAGTTTACTCCACAAAATTAACATAGACATTAAAATTTCAATACTTTATATAATTTTTATTAAGCTTAATATAATATGAATTTGTAAAACTATAGAGTAGGATGAATGTATAACTAATCATACTTTATTAAAAGTAATCCACATCTATTATAGGTATAGCAATATTCTAATAATAATAAATTTATTCAAATAACTCCAAATTGAATAAAAAAGTAACTAATAATAATAGAGAGAACTTTATAAAATTTTAGCTTAAGTTCAGGCTACTGATGAATATTTTTAAGATGATTAATGATGTAATGAGAAAAGAGAAAATGTTGGATAACTTATAATTCATTTCATAACCATCTAATTACAGACTAGAGGAAACATTAATCATTAGCAATAGAAAATTAGTGAAGTTAAAAAGAAAATTACCAAAATGATCAATGTTTTAAGAGAAATTTAAGATCATCTCTATAGTAAAAAAGATTATAGTACAAAAACTTATGAAAAGGAAACAAAAAATATAAATGGAGCCCTACTCTTAAATTGCAAGTGGAGAAAATCAAAACAACTAAATGGCATATTCCCCAACAATTAATTTTATTACTTAAGCAAATACAAATTTCAATATTAATTTAATTAAGAAGACTGAAGTTAAAATTTTAAGTTAAGATGGTTTAGATTCCAAATAAGTTTATTGTATATAAAGAGCCTTTGGTTAATATTTTATAGCAATTATAATGAAACCTTTTACTCTATTAATTACCTTAAAAAGGTTACTCACAGTAAATATTAAAAGTTAAATCACTAAAATTAAATTCTTTACTCAAGCATTTTAACAACTTTGGAGTTTAATTTAGTTAAGAGAGAACATGATATTTTATATTTTTGATTATTCAACAGAAGAATTATAAACCTTTTCAAATTTATTCTCTTTTTTAAATATAATTTTCAACAAAGACTTATTTAAAACCATAAATATTCAATTCATTTAACATATATTAAGTTAAAATTGTAGATAATTTTTTATTTAAATTATTTTTTAGATATATTTATAGAAATATTTCATTTGATATTCAATTATTGAATAAACTTCTCAATAATAACCTAAGGGGACTAGCCATATCAAGATAAGTCAAACAAACTGCAAATTTGGAATCTTCTTGTTTCAAACTCTAATATAAATCTAGAATTTAATTATTACTCTTGAGGCAACTTATGTTTCTAGTATCACACTTAATATTGAAATTGATCCAAATATCAAGATGAATATCAAAAAGCCATTTCCAGTAATAATACTTAATATTAATACTATAAGATATCCAACACCTGATCCAATTATAATTGCCAAATGTTTGCTGATTACACAATGAGTGTCTTATAATTATTCAATTATTTGATTTTATCTAGCTTCTTAATTAAACAAATTTCTAATCAAAGTAAGTTATTTAATTCTTTCAATAATTGACAATTCTTCTGGTAATTCATGATTCTATTTCAATAATTATTCATTCAATTAATTAAAATAATAAAGAACATAAATGATGATAATTTCTGAAATTGGAAATCCATTATCAAGATATCTATTTGATAATCCTAATATAAAATTTAAAACTAAAGATCCCATAATTGTAAATTTCATTAAAACAGTGTAATAATGAGTTTGTTATGTTCTAACAATAACAATTTGAAGTAAATCATGAACTATTAATATGATTAAAATAAGTATGATCCAAATATTAACTCTTTTTTGATTACTATTTCCAGCTATTCCAATCAGAAGAAGGGCTATTAACGCAGTTTAGAAATAGAATAATTGAGATTATTTAGAAACCTAATATAAAAAACAATATGGATTACAATGCATCTATATTTTCTAATAATAGGAAGTCCTAATATTAATACAATCAATAAGCTTAAAACCATAAACCAAGTCCATCTGAATTAACTTCTCCAATAATAATGGTTAACTACTAATGAACTAAACCATTTTGTCAATCCAAGTAAAAATAATCCAAATATTATTGAATGTTAGATTAAAATATTTTTATAGTATCCGATTAGAAATTCTTATCTATCTGTATTAACATCTATTGCTACTACAGCCTTCTCTGCTACTGCTTATTAAACATCATCCAATTGAATGTATTAAGCAGCTGGTACTACATTACTTAATGTTGGGTATTGAACTTTTGGTATTTAAATTAATGACTAAGGAGTCTATTGATTATATATTGGTAATTCTTATTGGGTTGACATTTTCTTATTTTAATTATATATTTAATTTATCAGAATTCAAAAGTGCTATTAAACTTAAATTTTTTTTAATTTCAGAATATATTTTAATCAGAATTCATTGCAATCAATTGTAATTAAATTTATTTGTATACTTATAAATTTATATTTGTTTATCAATACTATATTATTTATAAACTATCATATTATTGATAACCATACAGAAGAGGAAAAGGTTTAATAAATACAATTTATTGAAAATCCAAAAATAAATAAAGAAATTAATACTGGATGGTAAGCATTAAAATAGAATTAACAATTATAATAAATTAAAAAATAGATTATATAACAATATCATCAGATTTTAAAAAATTTATTCAACGAAATTAAAAATACTCAAAACATTTAATGATATAATTAAATAAGTAAAAGAAAAGATTGATAGTAAAACAAAAAAAGACTTTTTGCAGGATAGTTTAATTAAATATCTTTGTTTATTCGTTTATACGATTATTATGAAAAAATGAAAAGTATTTAAGAATTCAGGGATTTTCTATTCATTTGGTTCCTTATTAAATTGAGATTTATAAATTATTTCTCTTATTTATTTGACTGAGGGTTTTAATATGTTGATAATTGCTTTAATCGTTATAAATGTATCTCCAATTTTATAGATTTCATCATTTGTTTTTTTTAGTATAGATTATTTTAAGATTATTTCTCAATTAAAAGTAAGTTATAAATGTAGTTTTATTTGTAATTATTAATCTTTTAAAAATTTTGGATTTACTAATTTTTGTTTTTTATTATTCAAAAAGTAATTTACTGATAGAGTTAAAAGAGATTTCAGTGCTAATGGACATTGAAAATATAAAAGTTATGCAGCTATATTAGAAAGAATTATTGCCATTTCAGTCTTTTAATGGAATACTGTTAATGTAAGCATTTTTATACAATTAATGAATTAGGAAAATCATTATTTATTTGTTAAATATTAAATCCAAATTTATGGGAGGATAAAATGTTAGAAAATTAATAAGAAATAAATTCTTTTTTTTTTGGATAATGATTATTAATTTATCATCTCATCTATTATTTCAAAACTACCAGAATCCTTTTTTTACAATATTATGATAAGTTTCAATTTATTTAATGGATACTATCTTTAGAATAATTAAATAAAATAATATTTATTAATTTACCTATTAGCTTCTTGATAGAACATAAATAAAAATTAATCTTTATTTTGTAACAAATGTAGCTTGATAATGAGTTCTTTTTGTACAAGAAAATCTATGAGAATAACACAATAATAAATAATAATGTGGATAAGAAATTATGACTAAAAAATAATGTCAAAATGAAAATAATTATATATAGACTATTTTCGAATAAAAATGGATCTTTATTCTATACATTGTCTTATTGATAAGGAAATATTTCAATAAAAAGAAAATATATGTAAATTAAGATAAGTTATAACCATATATAAATGCATAAGGAAATAGCTGGGCAGTTTTGCTTGATATAAAAAGACTTTGAAAGATAATATTCAATTAATTGATATTGAAGATTCACTAAGAGCTGTTGCTATTAATGATTAATATGATAAACTTGAAATCTTTCTTTCTAATATTAAAGATCCTTAAATTTTATGTTAAACTATTGTTTATATTTAAGTTAATTAATTGAAATGAACTAAAATATATCATAAGAATTTGACTCTTATCTAAAAATATATCATCCTAAATATGGAAAACTAGATCTTTGAAAATATGAATAATAATTTGAAAATGATATTTTGACTTTTCGACACTTTGAAAAATTTGAAATTATCATTATAAACATCAAATTTCAAATCATTATTTATTTAAGTAAGGTTCTGAAAATTTTTCATTATAAATAAGCATTACTTTTGTTAATAAATCAATTTAAAAGATATGGACTTTCATTATACAAGAAATATTTAGATTAATAAGTTGTTCTAAAGGTGTTAATCATTTATGGAATTGTCAATATGAATGAGTATATCAATGAAATTGTTTCAAGTAATTTACATATAAATTAGATAATTAATCTTTATTTTTAATTTATTAAGACTATTAATTAATTCTAAAAATAAACCGATATTTAACTTGTACTTATAATAAAATTAAAACATATATCTCTAATAAATTCATTAAGTTATATAAAACGTAAATATTTTAAAAGAATCTAATAAAGAAATAATGGATGAAATCTTAAATGGAGTTCATACATTAATTAAAAAAAGAATTAATCCTAATTTTCTAAACCCTTATTAATTTTTAGATTTAAATTGCCATGTGAAGTGTTGATAAGTTTTGATAAATTAGAAATTAAAAATTAATTTTAAAATTAAATCCTCGAATTGGTTAAAACAAAAAGAAATAGGAAATTAAATGATAAATAGTTTTAATAAGTAGTGAGTAAATATTTACAAAGAAAAGAAATCATAAATAATAACTTTTTCAGATATAATATAATCATTTCAAAAAAAAAGGCTAGAAGATATATAATAATAGATAGATCTCACATCTTATATTACTAGATTTTCTGTTGGTAATTGTGAGGAAATTATAAAAGTATTATTTAAATGCCTTATGATAAAGAGTATAAAACAGAACTATTGAATAAATTTGATTGAAAATTATTTGAATGTTTAATGTTCTACAAGAGATTGAAGAATGCTTTGATACATTAAATGTTATTGAAATAAAAATTTTTCATTTTTAAATTGCAGCTTAATTTAATTTTTATCAACATTTTTGATACTCATCATAGATAAAATTTAAACGATAAAGAAATAATACCATAACCATCAATTAGATTTACATTTGAGACAAATGATTAATTATTAATTTTAGCTTAAAAAAGAATAATTGAATTATATTAGTAATTGTCTTAAAATGATGAGATATTTGAAAATTAATCATTACGAAATAATAACAATTCCATATTTGAATATTAATTTAAATTCCATTTATCATTCAATTAACATCAATAACCATTATGGTAAGATAAGATTATGTAACAATTATCAGCTATTAAAAATGAAGAATAGAATTAAATATTTTAAAAAAAATATCAGAGAAATCATTAATTATAACTAAAATAAATAGTTATATACTTTAGATTGAAATTTAATGGAATAGAAAATGGAGTTAAGTTTTGTTTTCCCTCTAATTATTAATCTGAAAATAATGAATATTTGATATCAAATGATGATAAAATAAAAACTCAACTAAAAAAAATTAAATTTTCAATAGATCAATACATAAAATATTTGGATAAAAATGATAGATAAAATAGGAAATTAAATTAATGAATAATCCTGAATTCTAAGAAATCTCAATTAAACTATAATTATTTTAAAATTTTTAATTATTATTTGAAATTTTTATTTTTTTTAAATGATAAGATATACTACTATTTAATTAACTTTCCATTTTTTTGGTATGAAGAGAAAATACCAAAAGATAAATTAAAGAGGTGTAATTTCTCTCTAGAATTTGAATTAGGTTTAATATTTTTTAAAGCGATATCGATGTTTGAACCAGAGAATTTAGATAGAGATTTATAAATATATTTTATTCTTTGAATTATTATGCAAAAAAAGAAGCATAAGTAAAAAGAAATATAAAAAAACTTTAAGAAGATCCTTATTCGGAGGATAGTTAGAGTGATTGGGAAGATTAAGAATATGAATAAAAAGATTAATTAGATAATTAAAAAGAATAATGATTAAACTGAATTACAATAAGATTAGATTATTAATTAATAATAAATATAGGAATAATCTAATCTTCAGATAAACAAAAGAATACGGAGAAAAAAAGCGAAAGATTACATTGAACCTGTAGATGGATTAAGAAGATAAATACAAATAAAATGCTCAAGTTAAGTTCAATTTAATGTATTTTTATAATTGTTATTTATTGCTACAATTAATGAAGAAACCTTTTAATTGATTCAGAAATAGAATATTAGATGTTACCTAAACTGTAACTTAAAAGGAAATAAATTTAATTTTTAAATATAGACTATTAGAATTTGTATATAAATTATCCTTTGTTTAGTAGTTTATAGAATAAATTAAATCTAATATTAATTAATTATCCTTATTATAAATTTAAGATATTGAGCATAGCTAATTGATTTAGCTTTTGATATCCCAAGTGTTCAAAAGCGATGAAACAGCAGACTAGAAATTAATTAATTCAATATTAAATCATCCATCTAATAACTGCCTAGAAAAATTAAAAATTAATAATGGATACATATAATTTGTTTATTCAAATTTTAAAATGAAATACAAAATCAATTTATAGAATTCGACGAAGTTCTTTTAAACATCTGATTATAAGTATATCAAAATTTAAAGCTATAATTGAAAATACTACAAATCCATCTAATGAAACTCAAATCATTTAGGATGAAATTCAAATTCAGGGTTTCACAATTCCAAAAATAAATAGTAGTATCAAATTAATATTTTAAGATAAATCTTATATTTTATTCTAAATGTTATTTTAGCCATAAATTTAAGTAATTATTTACCTACATTTCATGATACTAAAAAATTAATTTTGATATAGATTTGGTATATCCAGAATTATATCGTCTTACTTAATTTTAAATTTATACCTATATGCCTAATTTAATAACTGAAGAAGAATCAAATCAAAAATAGGATTCATTATCATTTTTTTAATCAACTTGTGTATGAATTAATTTATTTAATGTTTGGATTGAACTTGAGTTATATGCTCAATAATTTTAAGAATTCTTAAATTAATTACCAACTGAAAAATAACTTAATAAATATTGAATAATCCAATTAGAAGGATATCTATTGGCCACATATAAAAAAACACATACCCCCAAAATTAATATCCTACAAATACTTATATTATTGAAACAATGCCTTTATATTTAATAAGCTATTTGATGGAAAATTTAAATTTAGAATTGAATCATCAAATCAAATTTAATCTAAATTGATTATCGTATTCCTAATTTATCATAAGTAAATTAATAAGAATATTACAACAATATACAAAAAACAGTATGTAAATTCTTCCTAATTATAGAATGTAAAATATCAACTATTTAAATTTAAGTATAATAAACCTGAAGGGAGGAATTCAATATTTAGATTTGGTTAAACTCAATTCTTCGTTCATTATGTTGTCCTCTTTATTATATTAAATATTGCTGTTATTTCTGAGAACCCTTAATCAATAATGAACAACAGAAATTATAAATTAAAATAAATTGATAGTGGTTTATTTAAAGATGAAAGCGAATTTGCTGTATAATTTTATTAACAGTTATTTAGAAATATTTGCAATTTATAATCAATTTGGAGGATATGTTGAAGCAGATGTTAAAAAAAATTGAATCATGAGTATTTTAAAAAATTTTTAAATGTCTTATTTCCTTCAGTCTTTTTGTTTTATTTATATTGATAATTCATTCTTACACATCTTGTATTTATGAATTAAGAAATTAAAACTATGAAGGATATAATAAATAAGACTCAAATTCAATATAGTTCTAAATGGTAAATTAAATAAAGATATTTAGAAATCATAGATTTCATTATTTTATTATTGATTAGATGTTATTGAACTTAAAGTTAAAATATTAACTTTAATGATAAAATTTAATAGAAAAACAAATAATTTATAAAATCTCACATTAAAATAATTATTTATTAAAAATGAAGCTAAAAATTCGAAAGTATCTAAAGTAAATAAAATCTAAAATTTGATATGTCAAATAAAATATATCAACTGGTGTAGAGGTAACATTTCTCCCTGCTACGGAGAAGATCCGAGTTCAAGTCTTCGGGGTGGTATTTTTTTATATTTTTTATATAAAGTAATTAATTTACTTTTAATTGTAATCAATCAATTATATTAAGCTCTTTTATTTAAAATTGACCATGAAAACTATAACAGTTTTAATCAATAAAACCAAAAATCGTTTGTCTGATTCCAAAATCATAAAAAGTAAATTTTCTAGTTGGCTCTAAGATTTACATTATCTTATGTTATAAAATATTGTTGTTAAATTTCAAGTCGAATTAAGAAATCTTATGCCAATTCTTCAACTAATGTACCACAGGAGAGTTAAATATGATAAACTTTATTTAAAACTTGAATGATTACTATAAGTTCAATATTGGATTCAGATTATTATGCATTAGCTAATGTTGATTAATAATGTTAAGTTCTTATTTAATATTATCTGTCCTATTAGTTTTATTAATTCATTCTATTTGATTTTGATTCATATAACTTGTTTGAGATTCAAAAAAAAATTATAATTTCTTATCAATTATTGCTAAAATTATTTAATATTAATTAATTTTATCTAGAGTATTTAAATTATTTCATCTAATATTTTTTATATTTTCAGCATTATATAGGTAATCTTTAAAAATAGAAATTTTAACTTCATTTATTTACTCTTATATTCTAAATCCCAATAAATTCATTTTTTAATGTCATTTGGTATTTAGCTGTGATAAAACCATATAAATTTTATTTTTTAAATTTCTAATATGTAGACAGAAAATTTCATTTGAGATCAAATATTAATAAAACAAAAATCTCTCTACCAAAAAGAATTAAGGGTAAAATAAATTCTACAAAATATAATTAATAATTAAAATAAAACAATTTCCAAATAAGTTACACTTTAATATAAATCAAATTTAACAATTTTATTAGAGGAATTATTTGGACTAAATTGACTGCTTAAAAAATATTTTATAAAAAACAGAAACATTAAAAGACTAATCTGATTAGATTTCGTCATTTTCACTATCATTCAATATATAGTGAAAGCAAATAAAACTGCTTAATAATAAAAGGAACAATTCCAACTTAAAATATACGAAATGGCAGCTTTTATATTTTTTAGGTATGATTATAATCTCTTGATTTTACTATGAAAATAAATATTTCTTACATGTAAAAAATGAAGAGAGATACCCTTACCAAACATCGAATTATAAATAATTTTAAGAAGATAATTGTTATAAAATTCATTTGAAAAGCTGTATGTAACAATTTTAAATGCCAATAATGTTTAAAAATATATTCTCTTGCAATTCTGATATTAATCTTGCTATATTTTATTCTAATATAGAGAGTCTTAATAAATAATTAGTTTAAATACCTGAAAGAGTTTACAAACTCTTATTTTTGTTTTAATTAAGTTAAAGCTTTAAGTTTATGCTTATTAAAATAGATTTAATGATTAGTTTTGTGGTTTAATTTACTACGTAGATATTAGACTAATCAGATAGTCTCAAGCATGAAAAATTTAAGCAATGCCATTAGATGTCATCATATACTATTTCTATTAATTCATTTTATATATAATTTATTTAATAACCAAATTAACAATTTAATAATGAAATTAATATAATACATTGATTAAATAATTCCTTTTTCCTATAGGAACATTCTAGTTCAGAATTTTCTTCATTCCTTATTTTAAATTTTGCTTATATTCAGGAACTCATATAAATAGGAACAAATTGACATTAAATGGCAATCACTTAAATTGAATGTTAATGATAGCAAAATATAAATCAATTCATACCAATTAATAGATTATTTGATAAAAATTGGATTGTTACATTTTAGTTTAAAAATTTAAGCATAACAGAATATCCGTAAAAATCCACCTGATGATAGAAATCAATAAAAGAGTATATTTACATTTATATAGATGAATTTGAATTGTAATAAGGATCTATTAGTAAAAAAATTATTTAGAACAAAATTTTAATGGAAAAACTTTGCATTTGTTACTACCATAAGTTGTTTTATGGAAGATTATTATTAAAATATAATTTTATACTATCGATTAATTTATCAATATATTCAAAGTATTATAATTTTTTTTAACTAAATTGAAGATCTCTAATTATCATGAGAATAAATTAATTTTGATTAGGAAGTTGAATGAGTCGCATCAATTTTAATGTAATAATTGAGTTATATTATTAGAATTTAAATATTTAGAAAAATTCCTTCAATGATTATACAGGAAGGTATTAGCAATACAAAAAGAATTATGCTGTCTTGAGAGCTTCAAAATCTTTAAATTCTGAAGATTCTCCCTTGGTCTAATTATTAGACAAACAAATCTTTTTTAAAGGCCAATATGA